TGTAAGAGTAGCTTAGCAGACCTGAAATTCTGGACAATAATGTTTATCTGCACAGAAGTTTCACTGTTATTTAGTTCTCCATGGATTTCGAGGGTGATTCACAGTTCATTATTTTGGTATTTAAAATTTATTTATTCATATAAATATTCTTCAGACAGTTCACATTGATCTTAATACAAACTTAAGTTCTGTTTAGGCAATCAGTGAATTCGGTATGCGCAAGAAACTTAGTAAACAGAAAAAAAAGGAAGGAAAAAAAAAGAAAAAAAGAAAAATTAATTACCTGGTTACTTCCACAGCCTCTCATGAAACCTCCTCTTCAATGCTTTGTTGGAGACAGAGCCTTGAAGCGTAAAGGTAAAGGCTGTCAAATCAAAGTTTTGGCAAATTGACAGCTACGATAACATAAAACCTTTTTATTTTCCTTTCCAAGCTATCTGCTCCATCCAACTCAAGAGTGGCGTATTAAATGAATTCCCAACCTTGAAGAGTCTGGGTTCTTTGCAAAGTGTGTTGCATTAAATATGCACAGGCAAAACAAGTTATAATCAATCATTAAAACCTGTTTTATTTCAAGAATAGCTTTTTCAACAATCATCAGGGCCACCTGTAATCTAAGATTAAATAATAAACTAGACACATCTAGAGGATCAGAGAGTCAACCAAAGATCTAAAACAGTCTCTGGAAGTGCCTTTCTCTTTTTATCCATTATCTAAAGAGATTAGTTTGGCACCTAACCAAAGTGTCTCAACTAAGTGGGGTGGAACTGGATCTAAGCTTTTTCAGTCATAGTTTTAGGTAGGAAAAATATCTGAAGTTGCTTACTTTATAACAGGCTAAAGCATGTTGAATTACGTAACAGTTTCTATCAACTGAGAGGAGAGCATTCATACGGGCCTTGCTGTGCCAAGAATCTTAACTGAAGATAACTTGATTGTGTATTTGATAACCAAGTCAATCAAAATAATTAAATAGTGTCATATCTGGTGATTGAGTGCACTTAAAACTTGTATTGTTTCACAGATCCATGCTTATATGATGGCATTGAAATACAGGCTTTAGCCAGTGATGTCTATTTCTTGCCATGTTTTAAAAATAAGTTTTAGGTAAAGTCATAATATTTCTGATATGTAGTGCTAAATTAAATTTTATCCAGATTGCATCTACCTTTGTAGCATCTGCTTATCTCTATGCTTATTTGACATAATCAGATCTTCCCACGGTACAGGCTGGCTTACTCCCTGGTGCCTTGTGAAAGTATTATTGCTTTCTGACTGCTGATGGTACAGGACTGTATTTATACAAGACTTGAAATATACCACAGAAACTGCTTAGATTAGGAACATACATGATATGTATCTTTTTTTTAAAAAAAAAAAAATAGGTAACTGCAATGCTTTTTTGATGCATATTTAATGTAGCCATAGATTAAATGTGTACTCCTTCTGTATACACAGTAACATCTGAAACAATGTACTGAACTCTAAATTATTTTACAGAAAGGGAGAAAAAGTTTTCTCTATGTCTGTATCCTTCCTTGGAAAACCAGGACACTTTACAAATATTATCTCCTCAGATTCTATTGAAAGAGTAATTAACAGAGAAGAAATGAGTTTTATTTTCACCAATTTTTTTTTTCTTCTGCAAAAATTTGTTCCAAGAGAACTCAAAGACCTGCTTAATAATTTGATTGCCATTTCATGGCACCCAGCCCCTTTCAGTCACATGTCTTACTGCTATCTGAGAAAAAGTGAGATATATGGTGCATCTGAAGCATTTGGACAGATTTTCATCAGGGTAATCACAATATGAAAGGGCAATCTGAAAAACCTTTGATTTAAAATACAGGAAGATGGCTCTTGCTGAACTTAATACCATTTCTTAGTTTTTAAGGTCTGTAATTTCCACTCATGTTAATGCATTCTAATTATTATCCTGCTTAGCTTTTGTTTTTCATGAAGATTAAAGGGATCTGTTTGATGTGTGCAAAGAAGTGACTACAGAAAATGGTAAATTAAGGGAAGATGGTAAATTAATTGGAAGATGTCAGCTTAGGAGAACATTTTCGACATGAGCGCTGTAAGGCTGTTAACAAACAGACTAACTCATTTGTCTCACCATGAAACGAAAATAAAAATCACAACATTATGATAAAATCTCGGGGAGGAGATGCCTGCAAGACTGTTTGAAGCCTTAGGTTCTTTTCTTCTCTGGGCTTTGGCACCGTGATATATGCAAACCACGTTCTACATAACTGTGAAGTGAAGTAGGTTCTATGCAGAACAGATGGACCAGGGCTAATGTGGCAGTGTGCACTGGAGACGAGAACAGATTAATACCACAAGGGGAGACTGGAGGAAAATCGGAAAGATGGGAGTATTTGAACTAATTCATGAATCATTTCCAACTGATAGTTATGCCTTCAGGCACAGTGAATAATATCAAGGAAGCATATTTAAAATTTTATAAGTTTGTTTTAATGTAGATTAGAATTAAGAGCCATACTTTTGGATGATTAAAAAAAAAATCTTGTATCCTCCCCTCCCAGAATGTACCTTTGTGATTTATATATCACTGATGAGCTTAATTATGTGCACTGTGACGTGAATTGCTGTTTGGAAAACCCATGGCAGATTTATGGACTTGGCACAAAGCTTTTGGGAATGGATTTTTTTCAAAAAGCACTGAGTGAGCTGGGAAAACATACTCTACCACTTGCATCTGAGCTGCACAGGTGCAGCTCTGCAGTGTCTGGAGGCACGGTCTGATTGCTACACCTTACTCAGGTGTCTCCCTAAATCTTCCCTGTCTTCATCTCATTCATCTGTGTTCATCCTCGTTTTTAGAAAGGGATAAAAGAAAGACACAGGGAACTACAGGTCAGTCAGTCTCATCTCTGTGCCAGGCAACATCATGGAGCAGATGCTGCTAGAAACTATGTTAAGGCGCATGGAAATTAAGGGGATGATTGGTGATAACCAACATGGCTTCACTAAGGGCAAGTCCTGCCTGACTAATTTGGTGGCCTTCTATGATGGAGTTACAGCTTTGGTGGATAAGGGAAGAGCAATTGACATCGTCTACCTGGACTTACCAAAAGCATTTGATACTGTCTCACACGACATCCTTGTCTCTAACCTGGAAAGACATAGATTTGATGGATGGACCACTTGGTGGATAAGGAATTGGCTGGATGGTTGCACTCAAAGAGTTGTGGTCAACGGCTTAATGTCCAAGTGGAGGCCAGTGATGAATGGTGTTCCTCAGGGGTCAGTATTGGGTCCAGCGTTATTTTACATCTTTGTTAGTGACATGGACAGTGGGATCGAATGCACCCTCAGCAAGCTTGTTGACAACAAGCTGTGTGCTGTGGTCAACACGCTGGAGGGAAGGGATGCCATCCAGAGGGACCTTGACAGACTGGAGAGATGGGCTTGTGAGAACTTCATGAAGTTCAACAAGGCCAAGAGCAAGGTCCCGCACATAGGTCGGGGCAACCCCAAGCACAAATCCAGGCTGGGAGAAGAGTGGATTGAAAGCAGCCCTGAGGAGAAGGACTTGAAGGTGTTGGTTGATGAGCAGCTCAACAGCAGTTGGAAATGTGGCCCAGAAAGCCAACCATATCCTCAGCTGCATCAAAAGAAATGTGGCCAGCAGGTCTAGAGAAGTGATTCTACCCTTCTACTTTACTCTCGTGAGACCCCACCTGCAGTGCTGTGGTCAGCTCTGGGGCTCTCAACAGAAGAAGGACATGGAGCTGTTGGAGCAAGTCCAGAGGAGGGGCTCAAAGATGATCCGAGGGCTGAAGCACCTCTCCTATTAAGACTGGCTGAGAGAGTTGGTGTTGTTTAGCCTGGAGAAAAGAACGCTTCAGGTTCACCTTCTAGCAGCCTTCCAGTACCTAAAGGGGGCCTAAAAGAAAACTAGAGAGGGACTTTTGGCAAGGACAGATAATGATAGGACAAGGGACAATGGCTTTAAACTGAAAGATGGGAGATTTAGGTTAGATATTAGGAAGAAATTCTTCACTCTGAGGGTGTTGAAGCACTGGAACAGGTTGTCCAGAGAAGTTGTGGCTGCCCCGTCCCTGGAAGTGTTCAAGGCCAGGCTGAATGAGGCTTTGAGCAACCTGATCTATTGGAAGGTGTCCCTGCCCATGGCAGGACGGTTGGAACTAGATGATCTTTAAGGTCCTTTCCAGCCCAAATGATTCTATGATTGTATCCAAACTGCTGGCAGTCTAGTGCAGTTCAGACTTCTCAAAGCTATACCAGAACAAGTGCATGTAGATACCTACATCTTTGAATAGGATCTTCAGGCATACATGGCAGAATAAGGCTTTTAACAGAGAAATTTCACATGACCAAGTTACGATACTCTTGATAATGGACATTTTACTCTAGGGTAGACAATCATGTAAAACTAGAGGTCCACCTGAGATTTAAAATTATTTTAAAATGCATAAAACCGTCAGGATCTGAAACAATGAAGATACTTGAGAAATATGTAATTTCCCAGTATCAGTGAAGATATCAGGGTTTTGTTTATAGGCTCAAAAGCACAATTCCATGTGTTAGGACATCAAAGATTCTTCATGTCGCAAAGCTCAGAGCATATGGATGAGCCTGATTACTAGTTTCATAATGGACACAATTAAGAAAAGCAAAAAGAAATGGTGAGGAAAGGAAACTTATAGGTAATTGAATGCTCTACGTTCTCCGTACGACTTCTCAGTAGATTATTTTCAAACTACAGAGGAGGATGTGAAACACTTGACATTGTAGGAAGATTTTGAGAAAAATACAATGGAGGCGGCTAGTTCAGTTTGCTAGTAAGGACGTAATCAACGTGGATTTCTGTTCACCGGCACAGAAGATGCTGCATCTTTCCTCTTGTATGCAACTCTTTCATTCCAGGCAAGGCTCAATAAGAAGAGAGAAGGGCATGAAGTGGCCCACTTGCCTAAGACTTGATTCTCATTCTGCTGATTTCATTGCAGGTTGCAAATCTGGCTTGTTCAATCTCGAATAATGAAGAAGGTGTGAAGTTAGTCCGTATGGCAGCAACACAGATTGATAGTCTGTGCCCACAGGTAAGTGAGATTCCTGTTAAAAAGTACTTGGGAACTCTTTTGGCATTAAAAAGCATCGGTTAGCTGTGATGGGGAAAGCAGCCTAGACGAAGATTATAGCCTTGCCTTTGTCATTACATTGTTGTCTGCTTTCCATGAACTGTGAAAAATACATTTGTATCTTGAGATCTGTATATCGGATGCAGTATTTTTAGCACAGTCCATAATCTATATGTTCTTTCCCTTGTGAAGAAATTTTTCCCCTCCTGGTAACAAATTATTTTGAATAACAGGTAATAAATGCTGCGCTCACATTGGCTGCAAGACCCCAGAGCAAAGTAGCACAGGACAACATGGACGTCTTTAAAGATCAGTGGGAGAAACAAGTCCGAGTTCTCACTGAAGCTGTTGATGACATCACTTCGGTGGATGATTTCCTCTCCGTTTCAGGTACTGGGATCAAGGGATTCTTCTAAAAATATACCGCTAAATTAAAGTAATGGGTCAGAGCAGAGAAAAGTTATTATTACTAAAGCATCATTAGTCCTTTACTCTGTCCTTATTGGAATGCTGATCATCTGCACTCAGTAGGAGCAACCAAGCCGTGCCAATTAATCCCTGGTAGCAATGGTTAGCTTTTCATCTCCCAGAAAACAGCATCCTATTTGTGCTTCTATTTCTAGAGAGGTTTTATTTCATCTCAGGCACAAAGTAGGATTTTGTCCACCTTTTAAAAATTTATTGCAGACCTTTGACAAGCTGACAGTATCTGTAAAAACTGTTAGAGTCCTTGTGCAGTTGTAGGCAAAAGGAGGAAAGATGAACTTTCCGTATTTTATTTTGTAGCTTTGCTCAGCTCAGCTATGTCTAAGTGGGGCAGATGTACCATACAGTCCTGCCCGCTGATCATCTGTACCAGGTAACCAGGCCATGAAGAGGGATAGGAAGAAGGGAAATAGGCAAATGCTGTACATGAATGAGTCCCACCTAGGTATGTTGTCAGGACATGACCAGTGTGTACATTTCCGAAGAGCTGGAAAGCACTTCAGAATCCCAGAGCTGTTGGCGTAACAATGCAACCAAGCGGAGAGAAGTAGTAGAGTGGTATAAGAACCAGCAAATCTTTGCACTTCTCTGACCTCTCTTGGAAGGATTACAATGCAAAGCAAGCTCTTCTACAAAAATAGACAAAGTATCTTAGCCCTTACATAAAGAAGAGATGGAGAAGAGAAGGACGTTGACTTCTTGGGTCACAGTCTTTTCTCCATCCTCCTCGTAAAGTGCTACAACTTGTAGCAGAGTGTATTGTTGTAATATAGGCATACACAATGAATACTATAATTGCCAAGTACTGCATGTCTTGGTTTAATTGTCTGCTGCAGAAAACTAATTTTCCTATTATGGATTGAAAGGTGAGTTTTGCTGTTGTGAATAAGGATATACAGTGTGGCAAGTGTGCTGAGCTTACTAGAAGCTAACATCACAGAAAAATCAAACTTCAGGTGATAGCTTGGCCATAAATTTATGTTTCATTCTAAAGTCTTTTCTTTGACATTTCCTAAATTTCCTAGTAAAAGTTTAAGATCTTTGGAAAAAGATATTTATCCTTTAAGAAAAATCCTAATTTTTTTTTTCCCCTCCTCTTTGTTTTGTTTGATTGTAGTCCACTATCATTAGTAAAAGGGAAATGATTTGATGTAGTATAATTACACTCCACTGTTCAACACCACTGGTAGTGCTTACCTCAAGCCATGAAAGAAGATGAAAATGAACTCTCAGAATAAAAGAGTACTTCAGAATCTGGTAGCATGTAGATTTTTATTTGAGATTTGAATGTGGCAGGCACTCTTCAACAGATCTAGTTCTACAATGAAAGGGCAGACCAAGCCGTGAACTGCAGAACCAGTTCTCAAGCCAAAGAGATGGCAAGCACATTTCAATGGCCATTTGGTTATTTGTTTAAGGACTTTGTTCACTCCGAGTGCTTGTATCCATAAACCCAGAAGTTATTTGAATGGATAACGTTTTTATTTTCTTTTTTTCTCAAATCATGTTTTCTTCTGACATAGTCTTGACTCAGATCCAATCTTCCCAAGACAGCTAAGAAGTAGTATTTGTTTTTAGATTTCTTTCTAATACTGTCCGTAGACATCTCCATCTATTAAAAATGAGAAAACATCTCATGTCTCCAGAAAACTTGTTGCTCCTAGCTGCAAGCTCGAAAGCCTCAACTTACACAGAGTAGTTTTATTTTTGAATGTTAAACTAGTGAAGCATTAAAAATGGGCTGGTGTCTGGTTAAACATACCTCATGAAGTGACACCTCCTCCTCTTCATATTGAGTGTCACAGTTGATGGTATGTTTTATTATTACAGTGGCTACCAAAAGAGGGCTAACCGTAATTTTAATGGGTTACTTTATATTCCAAATGCAGTGGCTGTTCATGTTCAGGAAGTACTTCTTGTTGGGCAAAATATCGGCTATGCCATGGTAAAGAAAATGGAGATTGTGAGGAGGAAATAGTGAAGAAATCTTTTAGCAAAGCAACATTTTTGAAATGTGGATAGAGAGGTTTTTTAAACAAAGAATTCTGCCTTGCAAGTTACTCTGATTCACAGCTCAGGGACTTTCATTTTTCATTCAGAGCTGTTACAGTTCAAAATTCGATGTCATGTAAAACATTTCAGAAGCCCTCAAGTGAGCCAACCTTGCGACTTTTAACAGCGAAGACTGGTATGTCATTCTGATTTTGTGGCCAAGGATAATTAACAAAAAGCAGTGGTGAACTGATTGATTTTGTTTTGTTTATCACTGCTACAAAGGACAGCATTTCATTTTCACTTTAGTGGTGTCTGTTACAGAAAAGTAAGTTACTGTTTAGAGTCGCTCAGTTTCTCAGAGTGAAATTGCTCAAAGAAGAAATTTGGGCATAGTTTTATTATTGAAATGATTTTTAACTGTAGTGGCTGCGGGGAAATAATGTCTGAGCTAGTCAAAATCTGCTTCATCCCTTCACTTTATCTGTATTTGGGAATAGTATATAAACTATGATACTGCAGCACGTGAGAGTAGATGGCCTGATTCAGAGCTGAGAAAAAACAATGCAACTCCCAAGGTTTCAATAAACCTTCTTGATACTACATCAGCTGAGCAGAATCACTGTTGTCGATTCGTATTTCAGAATATGCACAGGCACATATAATTATACTGTGTGTCATGAAAAATTCACAGTTTAATCTCTGGCATAGGTGGAGTAAAGGAGATAAACTGCCTGTGCACGGGCTCCTTGCTATATCTACAAAGGCCATTTGCTATTGTCTTTTCAAAATGATTTATTTTCTTTTCTAACTTATTTAGACACAAATGAACCAAACGTATTAAACGTTTATGAGAACGTGTAAATTCATCTTCAGAAAATTGCCCAACTGTTTATTAGAGCATCTGCATAATATTTGACCACTTTCCTTTTTGAATTGATTTTTATTACACTTTCATTACAATAGAATTCGGTGTAATGTTTGAAATTAATGTGACTGTTTTTCAAAGCGTTACAGGTTGATACTTGCAGTATAGGTGAAAGGACGTAGCCCAGTGCCTTTTGAAGATAAATATCACACTTGGGACTTTTACAGTTATGTGGCATAATATCACAGAATGATATTTTTTTTAGCAGAACAGGGTAAGGGCAGATATCAATTTTTTAACGTACGAACATTTGCCATTTACCCAAATCACTAAGCTTTGCTATGAGGGAGAATGAAACCAAATGAGCCTTTATTTTTTTCCTACATTCCAGAAAACCATATTCTGGAAGATGTGAATAAGTGTGTGATTGCTCTCCAAGAGGGTGATGTCGATACACTGGACAGAACCGCAGGTGCCATCCGAGGCCGTGCCGCCAGAGTTATTCACATTATTAATGCAGAGATGGAAAACTATGAAACTGGAGTTTATACTGAGAAGGTACTGGAAGCTACAAAACTGCTCTCTGAAACTGGTAAGCTTAATCGAAATTTTGTTCAATATTAAGTTGCTTAAAACTTTCAGTTAGTTCTCTGAAATCTGTAACTCTGAGGGGAACCTGTGCTTGAAAACAAGATATAAACAAACAAATTAATGACCATGAGTGGTTTTTTTATTTCTACTCAATGCTATTGCAGAAGTCATATTGACAAGAGCTGCATAGGAGAAGAGATTCAGTAACTCATCAAGGCTAGTCTACTTCATCGAGGTTTCAATGACTTGAGTGAATAATACAAAGCCTTTTCTTCACGTTCTTTCTGAGACGGTTGATGATGTATGATGTGTCTCTAGAAAATCGTTACAAACATTACTCTGTGGTCTGTGCAGGTGAATGTACTTGGTGACTGAAGCTGTGTTTCTAAACAAAATAATTTTTCCATTGAAAACACATTTCTGCAACTGAAAATGTATTACCTGATTGAAAAAATATAAAAGTCTACTAGATTATATAAAATATATATATTATATAAAATAAATTGATGATATAAAAAAATAAGTCTGCTAGATGTGTAAACTGGGAGAAAACATTTTATTTTTTTAAACCTGGTTTTGCCTTCACAGAGCAGGGGTTGCATTCATCTATGTGTAGGTGATTACATCTAAGCTAGTCATTTTAAACTCCTTTATACTCAGTATTATCTGTTGCTATGTGCCTCTGAATTGTTCAGTGCAGGCGGTACTATGAAGTGCTCTCATCTTAAAGCAGTTGTCTACAATTTGTTCAGATGAATCATGCTTTGAATTTCACTGACTTTACGGACTGGGTCTCCACACACTGCACAAGTGACCAGCTAGGGTATAGATGCATTTAGTGTAGATGTCTGAAAATGTCTGAGCTGATCCTCTGCTATGTGGCTGCACTTGCTCATCTGGGCTGTAAAAACATCAAGATTATTTTAGAAGGAACAAAATACCCAGACATCTCCCTGTGTGATGAAAAGGCAAAAACCGTTGTAGCTCTGGCAACCTCTGTGTTAGATTTAAGCACAAAAATCAGCAAAATGAGCTAAAACAAAAAAGTTGAGATGACTTAATATACTACTTGTATTATTGTTGTCCTCAGCTTATTATATTTAGTCCTAATAGGAACCCCAAGCCCTATATGCATAGATAAATGCCAATGACCAAAACGAAGAATTTCTTCTTTTTCTGGCCTTTCATTAAGATTTATTGAAATTTAGAGCTGAAGTGTGGATTAATGTGATTGTGGTTATGACTAGAAAGTTGTGCCTTGAACACTCACGATGCTCGTACATTCACACCAACCTGTAGGAATTAACTTTCTGGCTGAACCCAGAGGGTCAGGTTTTGCCTCTGTGCAGCTCGAAGACAACGCAATAAGGTTTGCTTTTTTTTTCCTCGAAGTTTAGCGATTCTATGTCATGTGGTTTTTAGGTCAGAGAAGCAAAAGTGAATCCGATAATTGTTTTTATTGGTCTCACTATTTTTTGCTACCGATTAAGAGATCAATGGAATGAGCACTGTAAATTTAGCTTATTTTAAAAAGTCTATGAAGTGAAATTCACAGAAAGAAAATAATCTGTTTGGTTTGATATGGTAAAATATTCTGTTGCACTCTTGTGTTAAAGTCTCCTTTTCGTTAAGGAGCAATTTTGAAGAATTCTTCCTGTCACTAAGATTTCTTTATTAAGCAAAACAAAACATATCTTCAGGCTTTTGATTCAACTAAAATTCTGACCTAATGTTCTGTAAAATTTTTTATTAATAATTTTTCAACAGTTATGAAGCACAGTTATATAGATCAATAATAGACACAATAAATATGTTCTGTATTTAATCCACTTTTTGATATAATTTGAATTATATCTAAGTGCTAGAAACTCTGGACCAAGTGCATCTTGACAACATTAACTTGTTAATACTGGGGTTCAATATTTCAGACTGAGTCCCTCAAAGTCAAAGTTATTACTTATTTTGTAAAATGTAAGTAAACTTGTGAGGAATAAAAAATAAAATTAAAGAAAAAATCGTATTTTAAATGTTAAGAACTGTACATCATGTACAAATTGTGCAACAGAAGTTCAGAAGACGGAATAGGCCCAAATTCAATGAAACTAAAACAATTTATGCCAGACGTGGATCTGGATCATTAATATTACAGCACAATTTCTATCTGCAGCTTTTCAGACCGTTTACAAAGGCATTGATTGTTATTTCTCTATGACTGTTGATTATAAAAGGTAGAATATCCTGACTCATTTTGTCATCCTAGAATAAAGTGGTGAAAATGGTATTTAAACCACTCTATGCCATTCTGTACCCTGCCTGTTTATACTCTGCCCTCTCCCCCAGAAATGGTCTCTGTCTACATATGCATCAGTGTAGCTATGGATATAGAGATATGGGAATCTATGAATACATGTGTATATTTATATATTCATGCTGTTCGTCACCTTGAGATCTTACTCAGATTTTTGTCAAACACTCAGGAATGATGAGAGTGATTTATCTGGAGTCAGGCTCCACCCACAGATGCACATATCAAAATCTCTGTGAGAAACACAGTGATGAATGCCTTCTCTTTTTCATCTTTGTTCTTCCTTATTTTTAATTGAACCCTCATTTATTTTTAAATGAAATGCTTTAGAAAGCTGGAAAAAATTTAGTTAAATGAAAACAAAAAGGAAATGAGCACATTACATTTCTCTTATAATTATTATTTACTTTTCCTGTCAGCTCAGACAAGGAAAGCCTCTGATAAGTCCCCTTTTCCAGGGATTTCATATGTTTGATCCACAGATAGTGCAGAATTACAGATACAATGCCTTGGAAAGAGAAACACCTTGCTAATGTTTTTTTTGGAGGGTAGAAAATTAATCTTTAATGAAAGTGATATTGGTAGGTTCTGAGAAATTGAAACTATGCAAACCTTACTTTAATAACTAGTTTCACCTTAAAGTTTTATTTGTTTGTTGTTTTCATTTACAGCCTTTAGAATATATGGGGTGGCTTTTTTCAGTGTTTTAGTGCTTTCTTGCCTGCCCTTGACTATCCCACTGCCTTTCTAGCCAAGAACTTGGTAGAGGCTCGATTCTTATCTCTGACAGCAGTATTAGAGAGTGACGTATCAGTTAGTCTTTTTAAAATTGCGTACTTTTATTTTCCTCTAAAACCAAATAGAAACTTGACTCTCACTTGCTGACTTTCTTATAAATCGAAGACGGAAACTTATAAAACCACAGAGTCTACAGGGCTTGCTGGGAACAAACACAAAACTCATAGATTTTAGTGGATGTTAATTGTGTGCAGGAGTAAACCAGAGCTCCAGGGTTTAATTTTTTTTGTTTGCTTTTTTGAGCTCTGTGAAGTTTTACTGATAGCTTTGCTTTGGTTGCCTAAAGGGCAAGGGCCAGTGGTGGCAGCCCCAGCCCTGGACATTAGGAGCAAGGGATGACGTGAGGCCAGGCTGGGATGTCAGCCCACAGGTGGGAGTCAGGATCAGACCCAGTGAGGGTAATCGGAGTCAGACACAGTCCAGGGATCGGTAGGCAGGGCCATGCTGATGGCTCTTGTTAAACGTTATATTGGCATTCAGTATTTGTGACAGGTATGAAGTTATCCTAGTACAGATGGTCCATGAAAACAGGAAGGAGAGAAGGGCGGAAATTAAAAGAGAGGAGAAAGTAAAGGCAAAGAAGAATGTGAAGGGAAATAAAAAAGAGAAAACAGTGAAAACAATTTCCATGTTAGTTTTGAGATCTTTCATACTGCTCAGCAACCTGTCCTAGCAGTGAATGGGACCAGCTGAGAGTATCTCATTGCCTTTAGTAAGGAGGAGATTGAAGTCTACTCAGCAATTGGTTGTGAAGCTCTAAGAACTGAAGGGAATAAACATGAATTTCTAAACAGGTGAAAAGAATTGTCCATAGAAATAAATTAAATAACAGACAACGAGATTGAATATTGTTTTTCCAAGATTTCTGAGATGCAGGGAGGAGAAAAAGCTGTGAAATTCTTTAAAAGGCAAAGAGTTGAATTTAAATTGGGCAGACTTTGAGTAGACTTTGCAGGGTTGTAATGAAAGGGAATGAATGGGAATTGAAGGAGAAAAGCAGAACAAATGGGACAAGAACCACCTGGGAAGGGCTGCGGAAGCTTTCCAGTATTTTTTTTTTTCCTCTTCAGTTTGCATTGGGATGCCTGGAAACCATCCTGGAAGCTAGTAGTACTTGGATTAGTCACTCCTCCGATAGACATTGGAAGTTTGAAATTGTCTTATTCAAATCAGAAATATGAGTTTCAGCTTTTAGCATGTTTTAGAAATGTCTTAATAACTTGGTAACTAGCTGTTTTTAAATAGATTGCTCTCTGACTTCTGTTTTGACTTAAATTTTTTATTTTGTCTTTATCAGAAGGGACTAAAGTTCAAAATCAGTATTTCTGGCAATTCAGCAATAAGCCTGTGAGAGTTTTATCAGTGTAAGTAGGACAAACTTTAAAGATATTTATCACTAGAAAAAGGCAGCTCAATGATATTATCAAAGCTAATACTACATTGTGATCAAGATGGATTTTTCAGTAGTGGTATGAAGGGAAACAAAATGTAGAAGCAAGAAGATGAATTTAAGCATAGCTGTAATCAAAGAAACCCATACTGAATCTGAGGGAGAGCTAAAAATTGCGAAATGGAACCTATTTAAAAAATAAATTATGTTAAATCCATATTTTATGGGAGTTTCAGATAGTTATAGTAGAACTTATGGGTGCCATCATCCTGAGAACATGAGATCATTTATCCAAGGTTTTTTATGAAATTATGGCTTTTATTCTGCAAAGCACTGTAGTATTTTTTCAAAGTTTTGCTAAACTGAAATTCAAAGGTCAAGGTGTCACCAACAAAAAACATTTAATACATTATTTTAAAAAAAAGGTATTTTACAAAAGTACCAGCGAATACCTAACATTATGTTCCATCAGCTCTTGGTTTGATCCAAAGAATTTTTAAGCAGAGAG